AGCAATGGCTATTTAACATTGTGCGAGTGTTAGCTCTGATGCCTGGGTAGAAACAGTCACCAATACCATGACGCTACCATTTCTGCTCAGACAGTTGTTATGGCTTTCAGTCTGACAGATCAGTGTGGTGAAAGGCCAGCTACAGAACTCAGATATCCACCTCATCTGGTTTCTGATACATCTTTAATGGAGAACTTCAAGTAGCTTTCCATGTCTCACTGCTGCTGCGGAATCATTTACTGGAAATAAAACTAGGATTAATTTTAACTGTTGTGCTTTGATCAGATTACATTTTATTTGCCAACCAATAAAGCGGTAAGATGGCTATGCCAGACTCAGTGTTGCAATGAGAAAGGTACTCTCTAGAGTATACTATTACAAATAGGAAATCTGTAAAGCCAGAGATTTTGGTTCATAGGAGATGCAGACAGCTTATGAATCTGACTGAATGGCAGCAGATGCACTGTACGTTTAACTTTTAATCTCAGATACACGCGAGGAGAGGTCAAAAACCGAGCAATAAATAAGTAAATTAATTCCGCTACTTGTACTCCCATTGTAGGCTCAAAACAGCATTCATAACCACCATGAAAGTGGCTCGTATCCCATGCCTGTTGCCTTCATCATGCTACAAGGCACGAGACAGACTGACTTGAAAGAAGAAAAATAACTTGTGTTGATTTGTTCATTTGTTTTCCTCTTTATTCCGTTCACAGAATGAGGGTGTTGCTTGCAAGGCTAATATTTATTGCCCAATTCTTAATATTCTCATGGGGGTGATAGGGAGCTGCTTTCTTGAAGCCTGTGGAGTGAAGGCACATCCAGAGTGCAGTTAGGCTTTTGAATGTGATGAAGGAACAGCAACGGATGGTCATCGACTTGAAGGAGGAGCTTGGAGATGGTGCTTTGTCCATGCACCTGCTACCCTTACTGTGAGAGACCGTAGGAGGTGACAGGTTTGAAAGATTTGACAAAGAACTCTTGTTGAATTACTGCAGTGCATCTAGTAGATGGTACGCACTGTAGCCACGATGTGCCAGCATTGAAAGGAGCAAATATTTAAAATGATGCATGGAGTGCTAATGAATATTTACTACATTCTGGATGTTTGCTGAAAATTTGATAACATCCACTAAAGAATAGCTAACTTTGTTAGTTTAATGAATTTAGCAGCTATGAAAGAAAATACTTCCGAGCATGGTTACAAAAGTGCCTCCAAAAATCAAAGCATATTTAATATATACAGCCTGAGCAGCAGCTCTTTCTCTCATTCACAACACTACACATGAAAGTGCTCGTGTCAGATGTGGGTCAGGATTTCAAGCACCAAGGATGCTCTCCAGAGCTCATACATCAAGGGTAGCTAACTTGGACTAACATGCATACCTGGAACTATAACCAAGACTGAAGGAGAGGGCACCAGAAAGAAAATAGCACGAAAACAATCCCATGCATCATTGTCGTGTGCCAAACCAACCAATCATAAATCATAGCCACGGCTGTTCATTATCTTGTAGGTAGTTTCCAGTAACTGCAGAGCTGGAGCTCAACACTCACCAAATAAAACACCTTGAAATTCAAAACGATCAGTTGAGCACAAAAGGCTTCCATTTGCTTCGATTGAAGATGGCGAGGATAAAAGTGGTGAGATTGGTGAAAGGGTTGAGACCACTGTTGGGGTTTTTGAATTAACACTGCACTGTGTCTCAGTGCTCTGGCAGTTTGAACTGTATTCAAGGACCATTCGCCTGATGTCTTCTTCCAGTCTGGAAACTTCATCATCGCGGAGGTGATTGGGCTGAAATATAAATTTTTTAGCAATTAGAATTAACATTTCCCTTGCAGCTGTCCAAGATACACAATACTGGCGTGACTGTGCGCTCGAGGGACAGAATTAAAATTTAAAAGGTTCAAATTTATTAAGCAATGAGAATAGTCACTGACTGTCACATTTGAAATGTTTCAATAATCTGCATTTAACAAGGTGTCACATATAGCAAGGGGATAAAGATATCCCGTATTATTATTGTTGATTGAAAAATAAATAGTGAAGAGAGATACCTTGCAATTTTCAAAAGAGTACCAATGGGTCAGTTACATCCTGCTGAAAGGCTCCTCTGGGAGACGGCATCTCTGAAAATGTAGAATTCATTTCACTGGAGTGTCAGCCCAGGTTTTGCGCATGTAGCTCCAGTATGGGATTTTCTGACTTTGAGGAAAGACTGTCAACACCCCCAGCTCCAACTGACAGATGCATCATCCTTTCCATCCAGATAACATTTATGGCAAGTAGGTAAATTGAACGCAAAAACAAGGTAATCAGGGTAAACCTTTATAAATTTAGGGCTATGCCTCAGCTCAAGTATTCTATAGAATTCTGAGCATCACAACTTAGGGAGCATGACAAGGCCTTGGTGGAGCATAAAGATGACTGGTCAGGTCCTTATCAGAGATGCTGGGCTTCAATCACGTAAAACAAAAATTCCAGGTAATTGGCATCGCTCTCCTTAGACTAGAGCAGGTTTAAGAGAAGGTAGAATAAAAATATTGAAAATTATGACTGGTTTTGATGGATCAAAGAGGTGAGACTGCTTCCTCCGGTAGCCTCTGATCACCGGAGATCACAGATTTAAAATAATTGGAAAGTAAACCAGAGGGAAATCAGAATAAAAACGGTCTCACATAGTGGGTTTTTCAGAGATGGACGCGAGTGGTAGAAAGGAATGTTCAAAAGGCAACTAGAAATGTCCTCCAACAGAACTCATTTGCAGAGTCACCAGGAGAAAGCTGGAATGTGGGCCAAAATGGGACAGCTCATTAAAAAGGAGTGGTCTCTTTGTGGTGGTGCACTGGGCAGATTCTCTGCCTCGGACCGAGAAAGTCCAAGTTCAAATTCCCCTCCAGAAATTGACGGCCAAGGAAACCGCAGAGTGAGCATTAACATGTAAATCATTCCAATAAATGCCAATGACAGGCAGCAAGAGATTCCTGATCAGCCATGTGATGGGGAGAAAATTGGGATCTCTCCAATTACTATCCACCGTTCAGGCTACATCCTGCATGTAAAAGAACATATTAAGCCAAGGTAATGGTTGTCTTGTTTGTTGGGAAGGCCGGTGTGGATTAGACCAGTGCCAACAGCATGGGGTTTCATTTCTGTTCCAGTTGGAGTGGATTCAGGCCGTGACCCTGATGGAGGACGTAACAGTGTGGATTGCACCTGCCTTCAGGCAGAAAACACAAAATAATGATTATTCAAGATGTGGAGGTGCTGGTGTTGGGCCAGCGTGGACAAAATCAGAAGTCGCACGACACTGGGTTATAGTCCAATAGGTTTATTTGGAATCACACAAGCTTTCAGAGTGTTGCCTCTTCATCAGGTGCAGTGGGGACTGCACTCCAAAAGCTTGTGAGATTCCAAATAAACCTGTTGGACTATAACCTGGTGTCATGTGACTTCCGATGATGATTTAAAAGAGCTAATCCAAGACTGAGACGCTAAAGGGTTCCTTTCTGTGATGTAGGATTCTATACCCACCTCATTCTCTTTGATATGCCTTAGACAGCCTTCTGGGTTATCCAGGATGTCATCCAATGTCACTGTGCCAGCCTTAAGCACTGTCCTACAGGTGATGCTGGGTATGCATTGGTTTCCAAAATGATAGGCTAAAGCCTGCTGGAGTTTGTCATTTCTGTAATTGTGAAGAAAATTCCTGCATTTCTTTTCTTCTGTAAATTTCAGCTCAAGTCCAAAGCCACTTCCATAAATTTTCAGGATTTCAAAACCTGCGGAACTGCCGGCGGCATCTGCAAAAGAATTAGCTGACATTATTAATCACGCAGATGCTGAATGCAGATATGATTTGCAAATAAAGGAGTTTTTAATTCATTGAGCTAATAGTAACGTATAAAAGTTACAAAATGGAAACAGTGTTTGGCCCAACCAGTTCATTCTTCAAAGACTAAGTGACTTCAATCTCATTTATTCACATTGGGCCCACATTCCTGCAATTACTTTTCTAGCCTAAACTTGAATATTTACACTTCTACCTCAAAACAGTAAAACTGCAAGTCTCATAAGCCTGTGATTTCTTGTTTTCTGTTCTAAACCTCATATTTAACAACATGTTGTACTGAAAGAGCACCTTTATTCTAGTAAAAGTCCTAAGTGATTTCATCAGCACATTGTCTAACAAGTATAGCTGCAAGACACAAACAGATATTGGAACAGATGAGGTGCTCATAGAATCTTGAATCCCTACAATGTGGAAGCAAGCCATTCAACCCATCTGGTCCACACTGACCCTCCGAAGAGCGTCATACCCAGACCACCTCCCTACCCTATCCCTATAACCCTGCATTTCTCATAGCTAATCCACCTAGCCTACACATCTTTGAATTGTGGAAGGAAATCGGAGCACCAGGAGGAAACTCACACAGACAGTCGCCCGAGGGTGGATTTAAAACTGGGTCCCTGACGCTGTGAGGCAGCAGTACTAACCATTGAGTCATTGTGCTGCCCTTCATACAGGTAGTTTTAATTCTTAAAGGAACAAAGAAAGGTAGAGAGATGGAAAAGCCAAAGGAGGGAATTCCAAAGTTCAGGGCTTTGGAATCTGAAGGTGCGGCCACTATGAAAGGGAGTTACTAATTTTGGGGATGCTCAAAAGGCCACAATTTGATGAGTGCAGATTTTGTGGAGGGTTGTGGAGCTGGAAGACAAGGCATAGAGAGGAAAGGCCACGAGAGGTTTGAAAACAAGGATGAGATTGAACAGCCAGAAAAAAATGGATCATTGTTAACCAGGATGTAGGTCAATGAGTCGAGAGATCGTTGGTGAACAGGTCTTGGATGCAAGTTCAGATATGGGCAGAAGAATAGAAATGAGACACTGCTCAAAACATCTTGGCATAGTCAAATCTAAAGGTCACAAAAGGTTTATGCAAGTCCCTCTCCAATTATTAACATCTATCCAGTCACACTCTTCACAGCTTAACACGTCAATTAAGGTGCCCAGAAACTTATGGATCACTGATGAAAGAAATTGCAATTTATCAAGTCTTTCTTCACATCTGAAGAGTAAAGATCTTTCCTTCAGTGTGGGGAGCCAAAATACCTGCTTCTTCTCGGATTTTTTTCCACAAGTTCATCATTACCTTTTGGTTTTTATATCTAACACTTCATGATTAAATGTAGAGTTTGACAGGATTATTTCTCTTCCAGTAACAATGCAAGGTGCTGTCTCTAACATCCCATTATTTCCTTTCAGAGTTTAAAAAAAATTACCATCACAAAGTAATTATTGCCTCATACTTACAGATATTAAATTCCATCTGCCATTTTTTAAGACCATTCTTCTATCTCGCATCCCTTTGTTTCTTCCTTTGATCATCTAAAGAATTAATTATAACTCCCATTTTTGTATCAAGTGAAAATTATGACAGCACTTCTTCCCTCAGGGCCAAGGTTATTAATATGCAGAGTGTACACAGGAGACCAAGCTGTGTGACAATCTGAAAGAAAAATGCTCTTAACTCTTAATTTGTTGCCTTCCTTCCACCTATTTCTTTTTCAAAATTTGGCTTGCTCACAAAGCGACGATCTTGAAGCTTGGAATAAGGGTGGATGGAGAGTTGCAAGGTTAAATCTTAGTTTAAGGAATCTTACTCACCCAGAAGGGCTCAGAACCAGGTCTCTATACAGAGGTGATCTGATTGAGGTTACAAGATGATAGTGTTTGGGTTCAAAGGTTAGGAGGGCGTGTGGATGTTGGGGGGCTAGTTTGGTGAGGGGAATGGGGATGGTGTCACAATCTCAATTGACAAAAAGACACATTGGGTTACACTTCAGGGCTTCATTATTTTCGCAGTGAATAACAAACATTGGAATGGGCTGCCCACTTGTATATCAAGTGCCATTTCATCCAATTCCTTCAAATGACAGCTGGGCCCATTCTTCCTGAGTCATAGATCACCTTTTACAAGAGGAAGGTAATGAATGATATTAATCAGGGTCAGGTTCATTTCCTCGATAAGCTCCGAATGTCTACAGATATTGGGGAGAAAATTCCCCAGAGATAATTTACTTGCCTTTCCACTTCTCCCAGGAAATTCCACGTCTTTCGAGTAAAAAGGGAGATGCCAACAGGGATGCGCAAACCACAAACGTTACATTTCCTGATCTCCCTCCTGGATATTTTTCCTGCAGCTCATATTTGGCAATGTGCTACTCATATATTCAGGTAAATTAGTGCTCCCTTGAATGTTTTTCTTATGTTTCTCAAATGGGTAAAAATGTTTTAGATCATGGAATGAAAGTCTGTGGACACAGCCCATCAATGGATGGCACTTACTAGCTTCAGAAAATTTCAGAAATATGGAAATCGTGGACATGAAGACAGTTTCATAGAATAGAATCCCTACAGCATGGAAACAGACCATTTGGCCCAACAAGTCCAAACCAACGCCCTGAAGAGCATCCCACCCAGACTCTCACCACTACCTTATACCTATATTTACCATGGCTAATCCATCTAAGCCTGCACATCCCTGGATGCTATGGGCAATCTAGCATGGTCAATCCACCTAAACTGCACATCTTTGCACTGTGGGAGGAAGTCGGAGCACCCAGAGGAAACCCACACAGACACAGGGGGAATGTGCAAACCCCACACAGACAGTCGCCCGAGGCTGGAATTGAACCTGGGTCCCTGGTGCTATGAGGCAGCAGTGCTAAGCACCAAGTCATCATGCTGCCCCATGCAGATAAAAGCCAACCCAATCAGAACCTCCCCTTCCTCTCAAGCAATACTGTTTGTTGTATACATCACACATGGGCATGGCTGGAATGCTGTATTGGAATGGGATAGATAGTTTGTGGAGGTTGACACTATCTGCAAACAACATAGCTTTAACAAATCTCAATTTCAAATGTGAAAAAGATTTTTGAGATGTTGAAAATCAAGCATATGATATATTTTGATGTTTAATACGCCCAATAAAGCTTCTCAGAAAGAGGAGTTATATCTGGACTGACTGATAGTTTATTTTTATATCATTGAATGAATCTCATAGTGCTTTTCTCAGAGACATTTACCATACACGGTACCCACCAGTGAAAGCCTCTCTGTGGAGAATAAGAAAAGCACCTTGCAGTTCAGCTTATTTTCAATAACTGGCACAGGAATGGAGGTCAGCAACATAAGGGACAACCTGCAGATTGAAACTTACCTGCAAGCGTCAGTTTCAGGGCTTTATAAATCTTCAGGCGTAGCTGGGGTTCCTGGTACATGGCTGATAAATCCGTTTCATCGGAGTGAATGAAGAGGAACACACTGCCCACCCAGGCTGGAGTCACAGTGTCCATCCTCAGCCACTGCAAAACAGATGAAACAGAGAGATCACTCAAACCAGCGACACTTCCTCTTACATGCATGCACGCACTGACCACTGGGGAAATCCAGCATGGGTCAAAACATATGCATAGATCACTCAAAGCACTTCACAAACAGAGAAAAATGGGTCCTTCTCCAACTTAGCTCCAAGCATTGACAAAAAAAAATGCCTAAGATTGGACAACTGATCTGAGCTTAAGTCAAAAGATATAAATGAAATAGAGGTGTTGGCATATTGATTAAACTCCGTCACAAACATACATGGCCATATGCTCACTTTGCTTGAATATATAGCTTATAGATTGAATATAGTTGATACATAGAGAATATGTTCCTCCCAATTCACCATTTCTTCAGTTTTACATTTTAAATATACTGATGCTCAGGAATAGAATATCAGAAATGAACCAACTTCGGTCCACTTTGACATCTTGAAAAAGAGGACTCTTGTAGATTGGACTCGGCAATTTCCTTTTCTTATACAGTCGTGTATCTACTACTTTAAAGTCAGAGTTTGGTCAAACCCAATCGCTTATTTGTATGTCAGAATGATTCAGCCAAGCACACTACCAAACAGACAAATGTTTGTAGAAAGACCCTGGTGAAACTGAACCTGATAATTATCGAAGGGAATGCCACCTCAGGAATGTGAGATAATTGCACCAATTTGGTCAGATCTGAAACGGGAAAATGAAACAAAATATGCACTGTAGCACTGCGTACAAACACTAGTTGTTAAGAGAAATAAAGCAAAAAAGTTTAATTAAGCCAAGAGAACACCTAACCTCAAGCTGCAACATTATGAGGTGAACAGCAAAGGTCTTTCCTTAGGGCAGGGGAATTCAGAACAAGGGGACACAGGTTTAAGGTGAGGGGGGAAAGATTTAAAAGAGGGTTGAGGGTCAACTTTTTCACACAGAAGGTAGTGTGTGCATGGAATGAACTACCAGAGAAATTAGTAAATGCAGGTACAGTTACAACATTTAAGAGACATTTGGACAGGTACATGAAAAGGAAAGGTTTAGAGAGATATGGGCCAAACGCAGGCAAGTGGGACAAGTTTAGTTTGGGAAACCTGGTTGGCATAGACAAGTTGGACCAAAGGGTCGGTTTCTATGCTGTATGACTCTATGACTCACCTTCAATTGCCAAGAGCAACTTTCCTGTATCACCGTGTTCTGAGGAAGGGTCACTGGACCCGAAACATTAACTCTGATTCTTCCTTCACAGATGCTGCCAGACCTGCTGAGCTTTTCCAGCAACTTCGTTTCTGTTTCCTGTATCACTGACTGATTATGCCATGGCCCACCCAAGTGAGATTTAGTGCCAACATATGCCGTACGATTTTTTTCCTTGAGCCATCCCTGAGAGCAATCAGCTCTCTCCATTCAAATGGGAGGCCACAAGGGCCAAAAGAGAGGAAGAACTTCCAGCTGACCAGATTGAATTCAAATCAGGTGCCGTGGAACAAAAGGTCATTGACTCACCATTGCCAATCAGCCTCCACCTCTCTTACGTGTAGGTAATCAAGGGTTATGGGAAAACTCAGGAATGTCGGATTAGCCATGTTACTTTAGAATGATGGAGTAGGTTCAAGGGGCTGAACAGTCTCCTCCTGTTCATACGCCATATGGTCTGATGGTAAACAGCAATAAGGAACATTAATGAAGACAGCCAGTCAAAATGTACCCATGGCCTTCACTAAACCCACTGTCTAAACATAATGTGCTGCAAGAATCCATGAAAAACCTTTCAAGTTCAGATCCCAGCACAACACATTGGAGCTTGGAGTTTCAGTTTCCAGCCTCATTCAACATCTGATATTTCCACAGGCCTTTCCTGCTCTGGGTACATCCGGTACTTAATGGATCTGGCTTCCTGCTAGAGCCTTAGGCAGCCAACTGTTCCTCCACTTTTTATAACAAGTGCTTTTGGTTGAACAAACATACTAATTACAATTCCCACTCCCTCTTCTGAATGCTGGGGCATGTTCTTTACACCTTTAATCGAGCCTGACTTATTGCAGGCATTTCTGTTTTAGAAAGCAGTTCTGTTAATTATCCTCGGCCTCCCACACTCGGTGCCTGCTTTTGACAGTCCAGCTGAGACTGCCACACTGCCGGTTCCCAATCCACAGATACAAGTTTGTGTGTCACATCACAAGGTAGCACAGCAACTCACCACCCCTAATCAGGAAAATAGTCCAGTCGGCCAACACTCGAACTACTCAATGTACTGTCCACAGCGTCAGGAGGTGACTGGTCCTTTGCACTGTTGGGGGTGGAGGGAATGGGGGCAGTATCAAATCCCAGGTTGTACTGCACAGTATGTTAGCGCCCTCAGCTGTACATGTCAGAAGCTCCCTTCTGGCACACTGCCAGGTGAGAAGGCCACTTTCTCTCAGCTCCATTCGTTATTACATCTGAGAGAATCATTACCTCCTAGATAGACAGTCCTACGTATCACACACTTATCATCAGTATCTCCCTTTATGGAGGAGTAGAAGCATCAAGACACCCAACAAACTATTGAAAACACTGAAACATCCACAAAGATTACACATCGCACTGAGGAATAGCAGAACTTCCTGTCTTTTTTGAATTCAAAACTTGTATCCTTCTTCCAATTCCAGTCGCTCGTGTGTTTCTCATTTCCTTCATTATAACTTTAGCTATCAAAGCACTCAAAACCGGAATTCCTTTTCTGAATCTCAGGCTCACTTGCCTCCTTAAAGACACTCTTTGAAACCTCAGACCAAGTTAAGCTTAGAAATTGCCTGCCCTAATATTGCCTTACGTGGCTTGGGGTCAAATTTTGTTGGTTCATGGTTGTGGGAAATGCATTGCGAAGTTTTGCTAAATTCAAGACATTATATAACTACAAGCTGTCAACCAGTTTGGCCAGTGCTGAAACCAGTCTTTATTTTCTCCTAGACAACAGCTTTGCCCCCCCTCCCTCCAGGTGATATTGCTGGCATAATCCTCGCTTCCCAGTTGAAGAAAAGGTAAAATTTAGAGTGTTGAGGAAAAACTCTGGTCTTGTTTCTGCAACAGCCGCTGCAGAAAGCAAGGTAGGAGCTACTTCACAGGTTTCAAAACAAAACAACCTAATGCTGGCTAGATTCTCTGGCCATCGTACAGTCACAGCACCACCTACTAGCAGGAAGGCAGTATCACATTGATCTGTGATCTCAGCCAACAGAACCACTTAATAGAATGGGAATGGAATGTGGGGGAAAATTCAGCTTTTATTGCTCTTCCTCACCAACAACATACTTGCAAGAATTGTGCCACTCCTCAACGTGATCTCCTCTTTATAGCCCACACACCCAGTTATAACCTCTTCCAACCTCTTCAGTCAGTCAGTAAAATACAAAAGCTTAAACACATGTACCAACAAGTTCAAGAACAGCTTCTTCCCCACTGTTATTAGATTTCTCAATGGACCTCTCAAATTTCAAAGCTGTCATTGAGCTTGCTTTTCTGTACACCTTTGCATCCATAACTTTGTCTTCCTCACATTTTGCGATCACCGTATGATCTTTGTGTCTTTGCATTTTATAATCTGCTGTACTGCAAAACAAAACTTTTCACTGTACTTAGGTACATGACAATAATAAATCAAATCAAAAAAGAAAGCCTTAAATCTGTCAAAATAATTGCAGAATTTGCATTCCATGTCATCTGCCATTCCACTCGGCAAACCTGCCGAAACATCCAAATTTTTTTTTTTTTTTTTTTTTTTTTTTTTTAAAAAAGCTGCAGCCCAAATTTCATTGTCAGAATACCAAATATCTGATTGGCTAAATGCAAAAGAATCAACTGTTTTCCTTAAATGTAAAAAACAGAAAAATCAAACAAATATTTCAGTTTCCTATGCAAGAGCATCTGAAGGTTATTTTTATTGCTACAGTACACACACAGATAGCCCAGGGCTTTACCATTGATTCAAAACGACTCTGGCCCTGGGTTGGCATTACCCAGCTCTCTCCTGCTGAAAATAGTACCAACAGACAAGCCACAGAATCTTTGGACTTCATTCACTCCCCCACCGGAACAATTTGAGCCCCTGGATTTCAGTCCGAGACTCATTCCAGATATCTACGACTCAAAGTATTGCTACGTTCCCTCTAAATTGGTTTCCTTCTGCTCAGACCTCCAAGGTCCATGTGCGACAGTGACATCCAAAACCAGAAATCATTGCTGGGAAAGGTGCCGGCGCACAAATTGGAGGTTCGGACCCTTGGAATGGATGCACAGCCACTCAGCTTAGCCGGAATGTTACTGTATTGTTGCATTCTATTCCAAGCCCATGACACAAGAAGCAGTCTGAAGGAACATGCAACTCCAACAACACTATCTAGGACAAAGCTGCCTGCTTGATTGGCATCCTATCTGCAAACTCAAGTATCCATTCCCTACATGAGTATGGACTATATACAAACTGCACTGCAGCAACTCAGCAAGCTGTCTTCAACAGAATCTCCCACCTGGAGGCCAAAAGTACTGTACGCAATGGGAACACTTGCATTTGCAAGATCCCCCATCAAATCACACACTTGTGGATAAGGCTGAAGATAACTGGAATTGATAAGCGGTTTTACAATGGGCTGTTATGGGAGTAGAATTACACAGTCATTCAGGCATGCTATGGGTCAAGATTGGACAAAACGTTCAAGATTGGTCACATGCATGGATAAATCCAAATAACGCATACGCTTGAAACAGAGACCTGTGTCTAAAGAGCTTGAGAAGAATACTTTATTTAGCAGAACTTCAAAGAATAACGCTGCAAGAGGCACCTTATGTCAGGAGGTGCCAAGCAGAGTTTCAGCCTGGCCAGCTGCCAATTCACCCGGGTAATAACGTTCAGGGTTAGTTACAGAGACCAGGGTAGTCGAAGACTGTGGTTGAAATCTCTCTAGTCATTAAAAGTGGGTGCTATTCATTTAAATACTTAATAAATTAATTGTGCTTTGTAGACCTTCTAGTGTTCCCACTGGACCTTCGGCTATGGATGTACTGTTGTGTCTCAGAGAAGGGAAAAAGAATTTGGTATCTCTGGGTGAGCAACAATAAGAAGTAACTTTAAGTTACTCCAACGTGGGTTCAAGTAAGCTCTGATTTCCAACACCCTGCTGGTGCAGGAAAGTGATGGTAGAAATTTGGTAATGAGAAAGACACAAAAAGAACAGTGGACAAACTAAAGAAGTTGGCACTAACAGAGAATGGGTCCAGGGGCCTCTGACTGGAAAGGATTTCTCCAACAGCACGTAGCTGGGAAATGGCTGAAGTATCGAGTACACTGGTAGGACTGGTATGGGTACAAGAACTCATGGGGATACTCTCTGGAGTATGGTAAAAACGATACAGGAGACTATGTTGGTAGAGTGGACAGAAAGCCAGCAGGGTGAGCTGAAGCTCCAAGCAGAGGTAGTTGAGCTCAAAGAGATAAAGAGACTGACTGAAAAGGTCAGGACTTTACAAGCCAGAGAAATGCAAACCTCATGCATATGAACTGGTATCAAATGCAGTGAGAGAGGCTGTGAAAAGTGAAGAGGAAACTAAAAAGGCTCACGCATAGGCAGCAGAGTTAAAGAAACAGTGAAGCAATTTGAAAACAGCTATGAATGTAGTGCATGTCAGCGCAAGAACCTCAGGCAATCCATACAAAGTGCATGAAGCAGGTATAGAAGTTACAGAGTCAGATATCTGCACAAAGAGGGATAACATGTGCATTTGTGACCCCACCCTTTGAGAACGGATGGAAGGAAGACGGTGACGGTGACGTTGACGAGGGAGGGCTAGTAGATCAACGGCCAGATATGGAGAGCAGGACTCGTGGAATGGGGTCCCCTTCTGGAGGGAGTGGTAGGAGAAAGTCCCATTGCCCCTATGGCCCCCCCCGAATAGTGCTAGGGAGGCAACAGCCACAACATCACATATACCAGCCCTTATCACGTTCAACAGCTAAGAGATATAGCCAAGTGTGTATGGGATCGTCAGCCTGGGGATGACCCCCGGGAGCTGTTCTAAGCTACCCACAAGTAGCGAACCATGCACTAGTTAGACAATGAGGAGAAAAAACTAATACTGATGTGTCTCCATCCTGCCATACATTCAGCTTTGCCTGAGCCACAAAATGCAGGAGAGGGAACATCAGAGAAGTTAAAAGAGGCTGTACTGATGGCCATGGGAACTAATAGAGGGGACCCAGTGGAAGCCCCGGATAAATGTAAACAGAGGAAAGGGGAGCACCCAACTGGATTTGCCACAAGGCTGTGGCTAGTGTTCCAGACTGTATACAGCCCAGGGATAGACCAGAAAAATGTAGCTGCACCTTTTGACAACTGTTGGGTCTCTACGCTGGTGTCCCATGGGACAGAGGAGTCGCGAAAGGCGTGTGACATGTTTGACCCCTCCA